CCTTTTCAGAGGAACTATATCAGTGTTTAAGGGGATCTGCCGAAATTCGAGCACGGAGCTATACAAGGTAATTACTAATGCAAATGCTCTTTTGTAAACTCCATTAAATCGCTTTTCAGGTGGCCGTTGACCGCTTGTATCGTTTCCTCAACGAACATGTATTCGATAGTAAAACAGTTTCGACAGCTATAGCTGATATGGTTTTCGTTGCGGTTAAGGTAGCGTTATTTTTTTTTATTATCGCGAGCACCTATGTCTGACATGTTTGATAGGCGTATGTATCCTTCAGATGCATCCATCATTGTCATTCGTGCGTTTCTTTTCCTTAATTAAGAAAAAACTGCAGCAGACAATTACCAGTGGGTTTTGAATGTAGTATAATGTAGCATTGGCAGCTCTCATCTTACTTTTTCAGCTGAAACGTATTTGGAAGAAAAGGTTGATTTTCAAGTGATCTGGTGGTTGTCCATGGCAGATCGTGTTTTAAAGGTCAGTTTGTTTTTGAACAGCTAGAATTTTTTTAGCCAATCATTTGCCCAAATTAGTAAATGTTTACGATTTATGTTGGCCCACTAAATTTTCTTTCAGGCTCCTTCGAGCTATCTGCTCGAAAATTGGGCTGAGGTGAGAAGTTTGTTGGAGATAGTGCTGCCTCTTAAGAAGTGCACACTTGCTACTGAGGTAATTTTAGAGTTTAAACATGAAATCTCTCAATATATCTTTATTTCGCCATCGGTCAATTGTAAATACAATACATTGTATGTGTTTCACATATTTATGATTCCATAAAATCTTATGTTGGACAAATGATGCACGCGTAATGCAATGCCTATATCATGCTATTTGTTTTTCAGAAACTTTGCCTTCTGGGATTGGGGAAAAATAAAGTTTTGTAAAATTAAAGAACATTTAGCGCTTTGACATTTGTGTTTCAGAAAGCCACTGCTATCCTCGAAAGCGTACTTGAAGGCTTATGCAGTATATATCTTCTTGAATCCCCTACTCGACGAGCTAATGCCGACAAGAGCATGGAGGAAGATCTAGCTATCAGAGTAAGCTCTAAGCTCCACAAATTTCTTAGATATATGCCATATAATTTGAAATTTCCAGCATTGGTCAGCTACGGTAGATAAGAAGACTTGGCAGCCACAATGGTGAGTTTTGTTGTCTGTAGTTACTACTTTATTTCTATATTATTTCTCATCTCTACTTTTCGTTTTTAGGCATGTCCCATCGCAGGAAGACATCGACAGGG